CCCCCCCCCCCCACCCCCCCACCAAAAGCATAGCCGTGAATGCCAACGAAACACCACCCTCCTTGCCATGAAACCAGTCGACAACATCCTCACCCGCCAAAAAATACATGGAATACCGCATGGTCGGCTCCTACCTTCTCCTCTCCCTCGTCGATATCGTCCATGTCCTCGTCGGAGCTATCCCCGCCCTGGCCAGCGATCACGCTCTCCGGTTCGCTGTCAGAATCCCTTTCCTCCTCCTCCTCCTCCTCTTCCTCCCCACCCTTTTCCCCTTCCTCCTCCTGTTCCTCCCCCTTCTCCTCTTCCTCGTCCTCCTCTAAATCCTCAGATGCCGACTGGTTCACCTTTTTCGCTGAACCGTCCGCTCGGACGGCTTCAGCTGCGGCGGCGAGCGCGGCCGTCCGTTTCGCCGCGATCTGTAACCGCTTCTCCGCTTCCAGCTTCCGCCTTTCGGTCCACATGGAATTCAATTCCCGGGCGGCGGGGCGGTGGGGGGTGGTGTTCGCTACACTTTCCTGAGTGAGAGACGTGTCTTGCAATCATGAGCCTGTGCCACTCTGAGTGGAAGAAAATATCTCCCAGCAGCGTCCACGTCGATACGTACCATATATTCAAAATAACAATACTGCTGTACCGAAAGCTGCATGGTGAAAGGCCATTCCAAGTCGGTGATAGCAGGATTTCTGCGAAATCTTTTCAAGCAGAGTGTCTTGATTGTAGAAAATCTGGGCTAGAGCACTCAGAACTCTCAGGCACGGCCCTGCTCGTATGTTTTTGTCGCGGGAACCGTAGGCAAGGAATCACCTGTTTTCCTGCTCTTCCTCTTCTCTCTTCTTGGCCTTCTTGTTCTTCTTCTTGCCAGCGTTGGCTGCCTCCTCCTCCTCCCTCCGCTCCCTTGCCCGTGCTTCCTTGGTGATTCGAGCAACCTTTGACACAGGGAGTGAGTGGAGGTCGAAAAAAAACAGAAGAGGAAAACGTTCGGTTAAGGATATTAATATTGTTCCTTGCTATTGCTGTAGCTTTTTGCTGATGGCATAGACGTGCACATCCAGAGCTGTGGAGGGGGGGGCACACCGTGCGGGACTGGTTTGCGAGGTACCGTGGGTGACGCCAGATACCACACCAGCAAGGGTCGGCTCGCAAAGCCCGATCTCTCCGAGTCTGGCATAGATTGACAATGAATCCATCGCGTCAGTGGAATCCTTAATGTGTTTCTACGATTCTCGGGGGCAGAATATAGCAGTGATATCTCCCCTGCGGGTAACAGGCCCTACGACATAGTTGGTTAGTGCCTCGCTGCTGATTTTTCCGCGACCACCTCTTGTTGTGACCAAAATTCAAATAGCAGCATGGTTGGATCATGAAGGAAGAGGCTCCGTCCACACTGCTGGTTACCACACAGCAGTGGCGATGTCAACAGCAGCAAGCATAACCGTTGGCCGTGGGACACGAAAATATGGAGCATACATATCTATGTACCTCTGCAGCGTCTGCCTCCTTGTCGGTCCGCTCCCGGCGCTTGAACTTCTCTAGGTTGGTTGGAGAGAACAGCGACGCGAGGCCTGCCACCACACCCGCATCCGCAGCAGGCGGCAACGCCCCCGCATCCCCCGCCGACGCCCCCTTGTCGACACCAGAATCAGCGGCAGGGGACGAGGATGCATCCTTTCCAGCGGTGCTCTGGCTTTTCTTCTTGCTCTTCTTCTTCTGCTTTTTCTTCGGCTCTGCGGTGCCACTCACAGCAGCAGCATCCTCAACCTTGGCCTGTGCGTCCTTAGCGCCTGGTGTTGCTGCTGGCGACCCTGTGCCCAGTAGTAGCGAGGAGAGAAGGCCCGGCCGGTACGCCTCTGTGGTTGGCATGGTGGGCGACTCTCGTGGGGTCGGGGAGAGGGGGCGTGGCGCGCAGCACGTGCGACAGGCGAACAGCAGCAACGGCACGTGTGGACCTGTTTGCCCTATCCATGGTTCCAGTCCCGTAGTCTCGCCGCACTCGGGGGGGCATCGGCGGAAAGGACAACACCATCTCTTGGGGATGCCGTGAATCAGTCCCGTCTTGCTTGCTGGTTTTCGCCGCGCGGGGCTGGTCGGCGCTGCCGTGCATTTATCATCGTCAACAGCAGCACGTGCCTTCGTGCCTGCTTCACTGGCTCCCTATTCGACAGCCATCGCTGGTGGAGCTCGCAAGTAGGGAGCAGGTTCGATTCCTTTTGCTGGCGTACGGCAGCAGCAGCGCACCAGCGCGGGCCTGATGTGCAGCCCACAATCCAAGCTGTTCGGAGGCGGGTGAGATAGCGGTTCAAACCTTACGGACAGACCCCTGGGAGTTAGCTTTGTATTGACCCGCCCACGGCGGTTGGCTGATGGATCCCTCGGCATACCCACAGCAGTGTGTTGTTGGTTGATCTGGTCGTCGATCTCAAGCGTATTCGTAGACTACATGCAACGGCGGTCCTGATAATACAACACAGCAGCAGGTTCACCTGTGTTCATGGGGTCAATCAAGCGACAAGGGGTTTTGACGCTGGCTCTACTCCCATACTTTTCCTTTCCAAAGAAAGAACCAACCTTCCCGCCAGGGTTCGATGGTGCATTCTACTGTCATCATTCGAGGACACCATGAAGAGGCGTCGTGCGTGCTGGCACGTTCAGGTTTGCTACTTGAGCTGAAATATCGAACGTCGCAGCAGCCTTTGAAATCAGCCAGAAATCTGCGCCGGAACCAAGCGGCATCCAACATTTTTCACAGCCGTGCTCACCGCCACGGACCGTGACCCCTGAACGGAGGGGCTCGGCAGTAGCATCAGCTATGCTGTGTACCCGTAGTTCAGGAGATTGGGGTCAGTGGCGGCCAGCACGGCTGTGACAAATGTTGGATACCGCTTAGTTCCGGCGCAGATTTCGGGCTGTTTTCAAAGGCTGCTGCGACCTAGATTTCAGCTCCAGTAGCAACCCTGATGGTGCCAGGACGCACAACGCCTCTTCGCATAATGTCCTCTACTGTTGACAATAGAATGCATCACCTATCCCTCAAAAGCGACCTTCTTTGAGCGCCTTCCGTTTCGGCTGTTTTGACTTGAATTTAGTATCGTGGGCATGTCATCTTGATTTCAAAGGAGGCGTGTGGAGGTAGACACGTGAAACGTATTTTGAATTTTGAGCAAGCAGACTCAACTGCCGCCCTGTGCTAGAATAAAATATTTCTGATATCGCTATGCCTTCAGCTGGTCTTGTTTATCCCTTGTGCATTTTCTGGTGCTCTTGCGTTTGTTTTCAAAACGAGTCAACACTGCAATTCCTTGTCTTCAGACCCTTACCAGCGGCGGATAGGCTGTGTGCATGCTGTTTCTGACCTCAGCCGACTCTACACAGAGACAGTTTTCAGTGATTCACACCGGGGGTTGGAGAGCAGAGTGTCTATAGAAACAGCGTATCCACAGCCGGCTTGTAGTGACATGACGGATGCTGACGCAGTACCCTACATGAGTTCTTCGACCCGCGTTTGAGCACGGTGATCTTTTGCGCAACAACGACGAGAAGAAAGTTGCTTGCCGTACATGTCAATTTGACGTTCGTGGTGCAGCGTCGTCCGTTCCTCTAGGAGACCGATACTGTCCCTAGAGGTCTCACAACACGGTAGCCAAAACGTGTATGTCTGTCTGTCTGTCTGTGTGTCTGTCCATCGCCGTTCACTCCGAAGCTCCGAACCACGCGCTTTTTTTACCCGAACGCCTACGGCGCAAGGAATCAGACCACAGGCCGTCCTGCACTACTTGAGAAGCCCTCTGCAAGTTTTACCTTGATTGGCGTGTCCTGCGTTAGCGTGGCTGTGTCGTTGGCTGGCTTTCCAAGCACGAAACACGAGCATGCAGCAGGTGCTTCTGGCATCGAAATGCTCCGATCTTGATGAGTTTATGCCTAGGTGTTGCCTATCCTGCATCAAGTTGAAGCCTCGTCCAATCTACAACTGGATTCACAAGTCCCTCGACGCTGGAAACCTGTGTGCCACCAATTCTGCCTGTCAACGAGAGGTTCAGGTCACACCGCTGCAACCTTCCGACGCGGAGTTTATTCCGCCGAATGTTGCACGCACACAACAAGTTGATGATTGATGACGCTCTCTTTCGTCGTCGGAACACATCATCTTGAGATTATCATCCATCCATCCATCCATCCATCCATCGTGCAATATCCTCGATCTCGACCAATTTGAACGTGCGTTTATATAGTGGCCTCCCTACTGCCCGGGATGACCCTGCCAACGGCAGGGTCGAGACACACATCTGTCACCTGCTCAGCGGAGACACCGCTGCCACGCTGCCACCTTCTTTGCGGAGGATGTTCCGCCGCTTTTCGACAGCTACTATTTTGTTCAACGGCGCGCGCTTAATACATGCTGGAGCATTTGTTGTTGATTACTAGAGTACTTTGGTCTCGTCTTGAGACATCAATCAATCCATTGTGGTTTCTTCTCCATCAAATCATTGAAGCCCCGTTTAATCTACCGTTGGAATGAAAAGTCTTTCGATGCTGGAATAGCTGTGTGTCTCACCAATTTTGCCTGTCAACGAGAGGTACGGACCACCTGAGCCACCCCGTCGCAAGAGGTTCGGGCCACACCGCTGCAACCTCCCGACGAGGAAGTATATTCCACCGCATTTCGCACGCATATCAAGAACCCGACAACTTGATGGTTGATGACTACAGTATGTATTTTCGTCGTCGGAACACATCCATCCATGCATCAGTTGTATAATAACTCCGATCTCGACAACTTTGAGCATGCGTATGGTGGCCTCCCCGCCCGGTATTACTCTTCTTCCAACGACAGGGTCGGGCCACACATCTGTCAGTTGCCCCGCGGAGATATCGCTGACACCTTCACCGCAGAGGATGTTCCGCCGCATTTCGACAGTTAGTTGTGTTGGCGCGCGTGTTTGACAAAAAGGGAGCGGATTCCTTCTCCTTCGGATGGAACTGGGATGATCAGCAGTGGTGAGCCATCTCTCTTTCGTCGTCGCAACACGTCATTATCACCCATCCATCCATCCATCCCTGTACAATAACTCCGATCTCGACCAATTTGCGCGTGCGTATAGTTGCCCACCTGCCATCAATCCCGTCTACAACGAACGGGATTACTACCCATATTTTGTAGGCCGGGAGTAGCCTGCCAACGACAGGGTAGGGGCACACCTACCTGTCAGTTGCCCCGCGGAGGCTACCTACTCCACCGCGTGTCGTCGGTTACGTTATTTGTCCTCGTATTTTTGTCGAGCACACAAAGTGTTCTTTGTCGGCTCCTTTGACTATCTTCACCATCTACATCATTTATCTGATGAATGGTAATGTTCCATGCTCTCTTGCTACTGCTGTAGGTGTTCGACAGCAACTACTTGTTTAGGTGCGCGCATTATAATTGCTGTTTACTTCTTGCACAGCAGCAGTGTACCTCCGATCTCGACATGTTTGCGCGTATTGCTGCCTGCCTGCCATGAAATTGAAGCCCCGCTGTCCGACATAAGTAACACATCACTTCATGCGCCGACGGGGCACACATCTGCCACGTGATGCGTGATAGATCATTCCGCGTTGTTTGGACGGAAACATTTGTTGTTGTTGTTGTTGTTGTTGTTGTTGTTCACGGTGCTTCCATGTGTTGTCGTTGTTGTTGTTGTTGTTAATGTTGTTGTTGTTGTCGTTGTCGTTGTTGTTGTTGTTGTTGTTGTTGTTGTTGTTGTTGTTGTTGTTGTTGTCGTTGTTGTTCTTGTTGTTCTTGTTGTTCTTGTTGTTGTGTTTTGTTCACTTGAAATCGCGTCGGTTGCTAATCCCCAACATCTAGCAAAAGACTCGGTCCGTGGTCACAAGAATAAAAGATTAGATGTTATTTAATGTTGATATTCGCGCAATTGGGCCGACCAAACCCCGATATGTACGCTATTTATGTACTTCGGATTTTCCCACATTGATATCCACCTCCTCCTCCTTCTCGTACCCGCAGCACCTCACACCGCACCACCGAAAACAAAAAACTCCTAGAGGACCAGCACGGTTGCCTGAGGCAAGCCGCGATACAACGGACAACAGTTTCTTGTTATGCGTGCCTGGCGCCTTTGATGGTACCCTGCACGTGGTACGCAATGCACACGCAATTCACACGCACGGCCGCGTGCCATGCATCTGACGGCCACCTCCAAGGGTCTTGACCTACTGTACGTACATGCGGCGACGACATACTGCTGCAGCAACACCAATAATTGGTCCTGGGACGAAAGTGTCGTGGCCCTTTTCGAAACGAACGCACATTTCGGAGCGTTTTGCTGGGAAGGAAATCAGCGAGCACCCATGAACCTACGATATACTTGGAAGCCTTCATCGAGTGCCTATGATCTCTTGCCCCTCGGCAACAAACTTCCAAGCTTCGTGAGGTAAAATATAACACTTGTAGTGGTACATAAGTACCTTGTAAGCAGTAGTTCCACCACCCTCCCTCTCACCCCCATGAGCACCTCCGCGCAAGAGCAAGCCTACAGTCTGCACGTTGTAGAGCAGTACACATGTACGAAGTCGGACAGATGTAGAACTTCACTTTCATTCGCGAACGTGGATTGAAGCTTTTTGTCGGACGAGTATATGAGTATCGTCCTTCCTTGCTTCTCTCCCCTACTAATACTGTTATGTTCTTCATCGTCACAAACTTTGTCGAAACCCCGGCGATGTACAATTGGGCATGTTGCCCTTTCGGTCGTCTGAACGCATGCGTTCGGGTCATTCCGAACGCGACCGTCCTCCTCCTCAGCGACGTTCCACACAAGGCCAGGAAAGACAGCAATCATGCGCACATTCGCGCACCGTGCTTTCGGTTCTTGCTGTTGTGGTCCATTCACGGGAGGAAGTAATGGCGTTGACGGTGCATCCCCCGTTGCAGAGTCCGCCCCAG